ACATAATCTGATCTTTCCTACCTTCCATCTTCCTCCAGAATTCTTTCCTTTCCATTGATGGTCCATTATTTGCAATGCTGGCTGATCGTTGGTTCCGTTCCATAATTCATTGCCATTAAATCCATATGGAAAGGGTCTGCGAGAGCAGACCCTAGGGATATCTTTTCCTTTGAGATTTCTGTAGCAATATTGGGTGTACCCAAGTACGCTAAAAAGCGCTGGGTCCTGCTGGTATGAGGTGCTAACCCACACCAGCCCCATTAGGGTCTATTCCCTCCTGTCAACAGTCTTTCCAGTCTGTCATCTGGTCTTTCCCTGATTGTCAGCTGCCGTTTCGCAGCGGTCACTGGATCACCCCAGAGTTCTGATTCAGTAAAAGGACTAGATGTTACAGTATGGGACAATAACAATATGGGAGAATTGGATATGGCTACTCTCTAGTGTCCATACCTTTTAACAAATGATATCCGCAGACAAGATAATACTGATAAGAAAAATAATGCTTGGAGGATCATTGTCTTTGCTCCTGGCTGATCAGATATTTGCAACACCTTAGTTTGGTTGATATTCTTTACCATGGCACCCAAAGTGCCTCACCCCCGGCTCCCAGTTGGGGGTTTTCTGCACCTGGCAAAAAAACCGTTAACTGTCCAATTTCTCCAGGAGGTATTGGGTACATATATTTAGCCTGCTTTTTGCTATCCAAAATCAGCCTTCCATTTAATATCACAATAGATGCAACTTGTCTAGGCCGGCTAGCATTAGCTAATCTCCTTAGCTCTACCTTTTCCTCCAAATAGAGTCACATCTGAATAAAACAAACAAATATAAAAACAGGATGTCAACAGCTAAATGCTAAACTTCCGTCTTGGATCTGTGGCACCCACTTAGTTATATTTCTTGGCACTTTTTGATCACGAATGACAAGGAGAAACATGTTCCAGTTTAGTCACTGTTGGTCACTTTTACTGAACCTTCATGCTGTGCTGTTTGGAAAGAACAGCAGTTACTAGAGAGACACAGATTAATTTCTTGCTGTGCTTCTCCCTACACTGAATCATTACTGCTCCCCATCAAGGCACTGCCAGAGAGCAGTGTGCCTCATTATCATATAAATTCACCAACAACTGAGAAACACGCAAGCTCCCAAACTTATAAGTGCTCATACAAGCTCAGTCACAGATGGCACCATTCATTGTAGGTGGAAATGTGTGTCGATATCTGAATGTCATTAAAGACGCATTCATACAAGTAGGCCAATAACGGACGAGGGAGAGCAGAAGAGTATGTGCTTTCCATCAAAATGAAAGAAACTAAGTGTGAATAGCAGAGATGACTGAGATGCTGTGGCACACAAGGCCGTGATATCATTCAGGTGTCGTGTATCTTTCCAGCATATGTCTAGCATCACTTTTTGTTTCCACTCACTCCTGCATGGCAGCTGTGCCTCTCTGTGATTGGCTGAAGGGGTTGAAAGGCTCCTCCAATTGGGACTTGTATTGCGTCAAAGTGTTTGTCCTTAAGGCGTGAGAGCAGATGATTTGTATTTGTTGAAATGTTTTCTTGTTATGCGTGACTTAAATAAGATACTGAAGGTCACATATTTGTGAAGTCGCAGAAAAATAATTATATTACAAATATAATAAGGATTTAGATTAACTTAAGAGTTTTGGTTGCTATAGTCTGCATTCTTTGCTCAACCTTATTTGTATAAAATAGTTTTTTTTGTATAAAAAAAAAACCTGAAAGAAAATATATTATCCTAGCTACAAGGATTGGTTTATCTCAGACCTAATACTGGGTATCTCTGGTTTGTATCATCCTGACAGTCAGAGCTAGGATTAGCTCGCTCTTTGAGTCTCTATGCATGTCTGGCTAAAAAAAGCTGTTCCTTCCTGATCACGATACCTTTTTATAGTTAATGTTAATTTTGTCAAAAGTGAAACTGATTGAAAGTGTTTGAAACTGTTTCAATATTTGCTTTACGTAGCGTCAAACCACTGACAGAAGCTGCTCTTTCTTACTTTCACCTCTCACTCAGTGAGTTGACACATACAACAGCACTCAGGAACCTGTGCCACATTGTGATGTTGAAGTCTTTTTATATCTATTGTTAAATTTAAATCAGCTATTTAATAGCCTTAAATGTAATATTTATGTAATGTTTTATGTAATATGTAAAAATGTAATATTTTCCTGTTATGACGGGACAACCCCATCTTCTGTTGATTTTCTCCCTTGCAAATAAGCTGAAGTTATTGAAATTGTCGGAGGTGCCCCCTTCACAAATGCAGTGTCTCAGAGGTGTAATTGTTAAAGTAAATTGATCTGCCAAGTTTGATTTGCCGAATAGATTCACAGTGACACTGGGGGTTTGATTTGAGAATCAATTGACTAATTGCTGTTTTTTTCCCCTTATTGTTGTGGTTGTTGCCTCAGTACAATGTGTGTCACCTGGTATTTCCCAGTGTTAGACACACCCAGACTTTTTCCAGCAAAGCATCTCTCAAGTCTGTTGTTTTTGTCTATTTAGGTGTGAATTTGTCTTGTTACACCTGTGCATTTTTGAGAGCATTTCAGGTGGAGGTGCGGTTTGGTTTAAAGTTAGTGTAAAGATTGGGCTACCTTCACGTTGAAGGTTCAGGTTATGCCTATACTGGTAAATGATTAATGCTCTGGGTGATCAGTGGGGCAGTTGTGTCCTCACCAGTATAGCACATGTGTGATAATGTGTGCTGCTGTGCTATAATCCTGATTTTATGGGTGCTATTATTTGATAAAGAAATGTTAATGAAATGTGGCTTGGTTTTTATGTGTCCTGACAGCTTTATGTCCTCACTGTTGCAAACTCCTTATCTCTAGATGTGTCCATGCTAGTGATATCAAGCTAATTATGTTCATTAAGGTCATGTTCTCTCTCTTTTTTTTTTTAAATGACTCCAGCCAGCCTCTTGATGTTGCTGTGAAACATAACCTTAATTGCATGGACTACAACAATTAATATATTGTACAATACAGACTAATTAGTTTGAGGAAAATGGCACATAGATAATAAAACAGCAAGTGATACCGTCCTGCATTATACAGTGGACAGGGTTGTTAAAGACTTGATCTAAATTTAACCTGTTTGACTATGTTATTTCATTGAGGGAAAATGAGATGTGTTATCTGTCTACTGCTCATTAAGTGCCCTTAATTGCACTTTTGTGCAGATCATTGGCAAAGTTAATTCTCTTGACTGCCATGTTAAGTGGTCTGGAAATGAGCTATTAGCTGTGTGTAAAACCAAAAAGCTTGTTGTACTTATGAGCTTAAATGCAAAGCTGCAGCATTATTGACTATGGGGTATTTGTTTTTACAAATCCAAAAACAACTTGTTCACCCACCTCACAGGTGATTTTCTGACATTGTTATTTCTGCTTTAAACCCCTGCAGAGTGATCAAGGTGTCCCTTGATCATCTATCAAAGCATAAAAGCTTTTAGGGTCCAGTTTTCTAAAAAATCATAAA